TCTCCAGCATCGGCAGTTCCTACTGTCTCTGTCATAAGGACTTACCTGGTTCCCTAACATGCTTCAGGGACGTTTTGCGTTAATCTGCCATCCGTACCTGGTCCAGCCTACGTGTGATTCCAGACCCACAGCAATGTAGTTGACTCTGAAATGGCCGAGCAAGCCATTCAGTTCAAAGACAGCTGGGCATGGGCCAACAAATTCTGGCCTCACCAGTGACACCCACTTCCCATAAAAAATATTTCAATCTTAACAGCCATCTATGTGGAAAAGTGTTCTGCTCAGAGGATGAGATTTCTCCATTGCATGACTGTCCCTTGGGGTTGACGATATGTGGTGTCTGGTGATGTTCATTTTGCAGCTGACTCAACCTTGTGGCAAGTACGGGATGTATTCTATCCCCGAGACTGGCAGTAACCCTTTCCATTCTATACATTCCTTCCTTTGCATGTGAACTACATGTTAATCTGACATGAGCCCAATAAATTCTTCGTGGTACAGGAACAGAATACTTCAGTGTTATGGTCATGAGCTGACATCTCTGCTTCCCTGCCCCCACCTCATTTCTCTGTTTCTGACTTTCTGTCCTGTTCTCTGAAAGACAATGCCTTCTCCAGTGGTATTGACTGGTCAGTGCATGGGTATGGTGCAGAGAGCAGTAACCATACACTCTGCTGGGGTAGTGTCTCTGATGCTAACTGCATTCTGCTGTGTAACAGTGTCAATTGCACTTCTTTTGGGTACGGTGAAGGGGTCACTGATCACATTCAATTGTGGCACAAAAACAGAAATTGCCGGAAAAGCACAGCAGGTCTTGGAGCACCTGTGGAGAGAAATCAGTTGATGGTTCAGGTCCAGTGACTCTTTTTCCGAACTGCAACAGTTCACTCTCAGATTGCTGTTTGTGGGAGCTTGTGGTACACAAGTTGGCTGTAACCGAACATTCAGTTGTGGGTTGGCTGGCTTCCTCTGTTAAAATACAGAGCCACAAGCTTGGGCCACATACTTCTGGATGGGCTGAGTGGCTAGGAACTGTGCAGTTGGAACAAAAACAGAAGTTGCTGGAAAAACGCAGCAGGTCTGGCAGCATCTATGAAGAAAAATCAGAGTTAATGTTTCGGGTCCGGTGACCCTTCCTCAAAACTGTTTTGTTCCTGATTTACAGCATCCGCAGTTCTTTCAGTTTTTAACTGTGCAGTTGGCTTTAGTTCCCATAAGTAAAGGGGAAAGGAACAGAATTGATCAGGGATCATGGATCATTTTCTGAAGAAGGGTCCAGGCCCGAAACGTCAGCTTTCCTGCTCCTCTGATGCTGCTCGGCCTGCTGTGTTCATCCAGCTGTACACCTTGTTATCTCAGATTCTCCAGCATCGGCAGTTCCTCCTATCTCTGATCATGGATCTAGCTCTGTGTCTCCATCCCCTGGCCAATGGAGGAAAATGTGTTGCGTGCATGAGTGTGCGCGCACATGAGACAGAGGATTCCCCCAGGTGAACACATTCTGTTCTCATTTAAACAGCCTCTGAATACCTACTCTTCATCCTGCTTTCATGAAGAAGAGTCACTTGGAAAAGCTTTATGAAATGTTAGCTATTGTTCACAAATTGTTTTGCAGGGTTTGGCAGGGTGAGTTGGCGGGTGGTAGTGGAAGAGACAGAGTGATGGGGAAGTTAATGAGCAGAGGGAGTGAAACCTTTTCCAAGGTGTGTCATATTCTACAGGTGACTTGCGCCGTCACATGAGAAACATCCACATGACCAATGCCCGAATGCTGAGCTGTGGTCATTGCAGGAAGAAGTATACCAAGGAAGCAACACTCCTACATCACATTCAGACCGTACATCAGGATGTGCTGCTACAGACTCTGCAACAACAGGGCCAACACAGCAGGTATGTGAGCAGATACCAAAATTAGTAGTACAGTAGACTGTGAAGGAGGTTATCTAAGATTACAAAGAGATCTTGATCAATTGGGCCAATGGGCTGAGGAGTGACAGATGGAGTTTAATTTAAATAAAAGTGAGATATTGCATTTTGGTAAAACAAAGTGTTTATGTAAAGATAACTGTTTGTGAAGAGATTCAAGCTGATATGGTTTGTGTGCGTCTCTCTTTATTGCAGTGAGGTGAATCCATCAGGGATTGGGAAGACGGCTGACACTGGAAGTCCCCTTCACACGTATGGGCCTGAGAGTGTGAAGGCAAGCTCTACCAGTTCAGGTACAGAGACAAAAGTTGAGATCTTGCTGACATTCTTACCTTGCTTGAGGGAGGGTGAGTCACACAAGCCAAAGTGGTTCCCAATTTGAACGTCTCACGAAGACAGCCTTAACCTGGAATCTCTTAGTCCAAATGTGCTGTAACTTGTGGTCTTTGAGTGATCAGTCACAAGCAGAGATCTTATCCAGCAAGAGATTGCAGACTGGGGGTGAATTTCCCTTGTCTTGCAGTGTCTCGCATGTATACGGGAATTCAGGAAATTATAGTGACCCCCCTCCACCACTTCCAACACCACCACGACCATCTCTAACTGCAAGCTCAGCATAGACAAAGGGATTGAGCACTGTGACCCTTCCTGATCTGTAAGAATAAAAACTAACTTGTATTCACATCCCTGGGATGTCCAAATCTCTTCAAAGCCAATGAAGATTTTTTAAATTCAATCATAAGACATGGAATCACTGTCTAAGCCTAGCTTTTATTACCCATCACAAGCTGCCCCCTTGAATCGTTACAGTCCAGGGGTTATAGAGACACCCACGATACTCCCACAACAGTTTCAAGGTTTTGACCCAGTGACAGGAAGGATGGTTTCTGACTTCGAAGGGAAATTGCAGGTGGTGACCCTCCCCATGCATCTACTGTCCTTGTCCTTCTCTCTGGTCGAGGTTGCAATTTGGAAGGTGCTGATGAAGGAGCCTTGGTGAGTTGCTGCAGCACATCTTGTAGCTGGTACACATTGCTGTCATTGCACATTAGTGGTGGAAGGAGTAAACGTCAAAGGTGGTGGATGGGATACCATTCAAGCAGGCTGTTGTCCCCTAGATGCAAGCACTTTACTGTTGTCTCAGCTGGACTCAACCATTTAAGTGCCGAGCATTCCATCGTGCTCCTGACTTGTGCCTTGTAGATAGTGGATAGGCTTTGGGTGCGAAAAGATGAGTTCCTCGCCACAGAGTTCTTAGCTTCTGAGTTGCACATTTGAAGAAGATTATTAATTGTTGCCAAAAAGTGATGGCGACAGTGTGGATCAGGAGAAAGAATCAGTCAGCTTTACCTCAACGTAAAAGTAACATGGCTGTGTGGACTAGCATGGTATCTAATATGCAGAGGGTGGTGCGTATATGGAATGAGCTGCCAGAGGAAGTGTGGAGGTGGTTACAATTAGAACATTTTAAAAGGCATTGAAATGGGTATATGAGCAGGAAGAATTTAGAGGGCTATGGGCCAAATGCTGGCAAATGGGACTTGATTAGTTTAGGATATCTGGTTGGCGTGGACAAGGTGGATTGAAGGGTCTGTTTCCATGCAACTCTATGACTCTGTCTATCACTTCTTATCCCATAGCATTACCAGGCGAGGCTGAAAGGAATGAAGAGACCTCAGTGGCAGAGGTAACTGTTACAGAATGTGACACGGAGACAGGTCAGCTCCTGGTACCCACAGTCACAGACAGCACAACGGAGCAAACTGGGACTTTTCTTGGCTGCAGTGGGACAGTGTCAAACCTTGTAATGATAGACATGGAAATCACAGGAACCACTGAAGAGACAGCACGTCTCCCAGGCAGGGGAAGTGAAGCGGATTCTCCAGCAGTAAAATGACACATCCACCTGAACGACTTGTCCTTTGCTGAATGTTGCGCCCTGTGGTGTATCTGCCCTTACATCCACATGTAAATATCACCACAATCAAAATGTATTTCAACATCAAACCAAAAATATGTTCATACCTTCAACCGCTGTAAAGAACATAAAAAGGTTTTATATTTTAACAAAGAAAGCCTATCCCTTGAGAATTCAGCCATTAGGAGCAACTGAACTTAAGCAGCCCATCAAATAGTTTATGCTGTACCACACTGCGAGCTCTTCCTGACATTTGTTTAAATTTAATTTAAATTTCAAAAACCTGCAATTCTGTTTCTCTCACTTTATAGTAGTAATTGTTTAAAATCAACCTTATATGCAACGTTTTAACTGCTGAGTCAGATCTCCCCTTCAGCAGTCAAGTTATGGACGAAAGCTTTCCTGAATTTACTTAATATTTTTCTGCATTTATTAAGAATGAACTTGCACTATTCACAACCTCAAGACCCTTCATAATCAATAACTTTCAATGTGGTCATATTGGAATCGCAGCAACCAGTTTGAAATAGCAAATTCTCTCCAATAGTGATGAAACAATGACCATGGAATCGATTTTAGTCATACTTGATAAGTAATCGGCAGGCATTGGGGTACTATTACCTGTGATAATGTGCCTACCACTGGACCAGGAGACCTGCGTTCAAGACCCACCTACTTTAAAAGTGTGTAATAGCATCTCTGAACTGTTTGATTAGAAAATACCTTCACCTGCTAATCTTTGAAATAGTACTGTGGGGATTTTTATGTCCACAGAAGGGAAATGGGGCCCATGACAGCACATGAAAGACAACAGTATGAAAGTACTTCATTTCAATTCAACTCTGGATTGATTATGTGCTCAAGTCTCTGAAGTGACCTGAGTGCTCATGCAATGTGAGACAGAGAGAAGAATCTATACTTACTGAACCACAGGTGACACTGCACTTTGAAATAAAGGCTTGACTTGAGATAGAAAATAAGAACATGAAAATCACTCTGGTGGGTTTACTTGCTGCTGTGAACAAGTGCTGGTCCTCCATCCACTGCAGAATGAGAAGGATAATCACACATTTTAGAGCAGAAAAGATTTCAAAGTCTGAAGGTGCCAGCACTGTTGTGCAAAAAGTAATAACATAAAAACCATGGTCCCTGCCAGTAAATGCCAAAAACCCAGAGGACTTTGAGCAGTGAGGTGCTGTTTTGGGTCTAGGTGTACTGCAAAGACATGAGTACAAATTAGAGCATTTTTATTAAGCAGCTTTCAACTGCTGTATGGGATGTACATGATAAATCCTGACAGTTCACATAAAACTGACTTTTCTGGTGTATCGTTCCTCTACAAGCACTCAGTGTAGGAGTATATAGGGTTTTGTGGTAATACGTCTAAGTCATTCCTTTTGTTATATTAAATGGTCATATCGTCAATGTCACATCAACTCGTGAGGTGAAACATGGCAATTGCAGACTGTAGGCAAGTTAGCCTATTGTGGCAGCCTCAATAATTTGTTACCTGGGCAGATGACTGATGGAAGGAATGATCCCTCTCATAATACCTGGGCTCATACAGCTGAGCAGGCAGATGGAGGTCTTGTTCTAACAACATTATCAATTTTTGAAGAACCACCACTGCTAGGTGTACAGGTCTCAAAACTAAAGCAATGAAGACACGAAATACGAGGTGTGGCAGAAGTCCAAAAGGTGTTGACTGCCCTTCAGCCATTTGCATTCTGTGCGCAAATCTCAAATCCCAATGAAGCATTCTTATGAAACCATTGAAGCTGTAGGCTAAGCTACAAAACTGTTGAAAGGTCATCAACGTTCATTTCTCCATCCAAAAGTTGGCCAGTGTATTCCTAGCATTTTGTGGGTTTTTAAAAATTTTTATTGAACCATCTTGGTCCTGTCCTGATAAGACCTTGTCTCTCTCTGCTTACTGCCGTCTTTTCTAATTTAGAAAAAATGAAGAACTGCAGATGCTCGTGATCAGAAACTGCTGGAGAAAAAGCAGAGTTACCATTTCAAGTTCAGTACACATCCGAAGGGTCACAGTCTGAAGAAGGGTCACTGGACTTGCCTTTAACTCTGCTTTCTGTCCAAACATGCTGCAAAACCTGCTGAGTTTCTCCAGCAATTTCTGTTTTCTAATTTAGAACTACTCCACAATATCAAACATATTTCCTCTGCATGGAAGATGGCAGGCTGTTAGATCACACTTTCAGATCTCTCTGTCACAGCAAACATGCCTTTATTATTTCCTTCAATGTGGCATTGAAGCTATGGAAGAAGAGGCCTATAGCTGAGTTAAGTTTGAAATCTCCCATATCCCCATTTTTGCCATGAGCATTTTCATTTAAAAGTGTGTTGGGGGTACAGAAATACTGACAGTACTGTCTCTCGCTCAGTCAAGGTGATGGTTTCCCAATCCTCCTGTGTTCAATAGTGAGTCTGATTTTATAACCAATTTTTGATTCACGTTTTGTCCCCGTATCTAATCCCCTTAAAGGTTTCAGTAGCTATCAGCCAGTGCATATATTTCTTGCCGCACTTGCTGTGACTACTGACAATTGATCAACAACCTGAAGTACATGAAGATGGTTTCCTTTACTCCTCTTGAAAAGCAGCCTTTGGGCTAAACAGGAAATAAGATCATAAGAAATAGGAACAGCAGTAAGCCATTCAGCCCCTTGAGCCTGCTGCGCCATTCAATGGGATCATGGCGGATCCAACATTTCCATTTTCCTGCTTTTTCCCCATAATCCTCGATTCCCCGACTGATCAAGAATTTATCTGTCTCAGCCTTAAATGTGCAAGAGGTCGCTGCCCCCATGACTCTCTGTGACAAGGAGTTCTAAAGACTCAAATGTCTGAGAGGAGGGATTCCTCTTCACCTCAGAGTTAAATTCACCTCTATTCTGAGACTATGCCCTCTGGTCTTAGACTCTCCGATGAGGGGAAACATCCTCTCAGCATTTATCCTGTCAACCCAATTAAGAATCCTACATGTTTCAATGAGATCACCTCTCATTCTTCTGAACTCCAGCATGTAGAGTTCCAAACTGTTTAATCTTTGCTCATAAGACAATCCCTCCATACTAGGGATCATCCTAGTGGACCTCCCTAAAACTGCTTTCAGTACTCCAGATGTGGTCTCACCAGCATCCTGTACAGTTGCAGTAAGTCTTCCCTACTGTTATACTCTAACCTACTTGAAATAAAGGTCAACATTCCATTAGCCTTCCTGATTACCTGCTGTACCTGTGTGCTAGCTTTCTGTGTTATGCACAAGTACCTCCAAGTCCCTTTGTGTTGCAGCATTCTGCAGTTTTTAGACAGAATACATTGGCAAGGTCGTACTTGCTGTCCTAAATATGTCACCAGTAGGAGTCACTGTGCAAGCATGAAGTGAAGAGCCTTGATTAATCTGTTCAGATACCTAATCCTTACCAAGCTTCAAACATTTAAAAAAAATACAAGACACACTTTGTACAAACTTAACTGATCTGTTAATGTATTTCTCAGGGCTTCATTGTGAATAGGCATTTAAGAATCAAAACTATTGTAGCCATTTCATATATGTACATACTATAAAGAACTTGTACAGATTTATAATTAGAATTTATATTATCAAAACAATCCAGTTCAGAGGAGCTAAATATTCACACGAGTCATCTAATATTTATACACATTAGACTCCCAAAGTACCTAAACACAGGAGTCTGTATTGCAATAGAGTACGCAGCTCAAGGCAGCCACTGGGGAGTACTGCATCAGCACTTAAACAATCGAATGACCCAGCGGAGAAGAACATTTGCCATTTCAATTTTTTTAGGGGTAGCGTTGGAGAGAAGTAAGAGGAAAGAATTTCTTTCATTGTTCCAGAATCCACCACTGAACCTTCGGTATGCCCCAACCTCTTGCTACATTCTTCCCACCACCTTCCAGCTGAATCTGAGCACAGAATCTGCTGTTATTTCACCTAATTTCTTTATAAAATCTGGGAATTGGTGTGGTAGCAATCATGTCACTGGACTTGTACTCCAAAGGATTCTTACCATGGCAGCTGGTGGAATTTAAATTTGATTAACAAATTTGTAATTTAAAGGTGTTTCAAAAACAGTGACAGAGAAAGTACCATCAACTGTTGTAAAAATCCATCTGGTTCAGAAATGGTCCTGCCTGAGTAACCAAGGTAAGGGAAGCTCATACGGGCAGACTCTATCACTATGGCCATGTCATCCCATGGAAGAGACAGGGAACACAGTAACTGGCACAGGCCAATTCAAGTACTTTGTAGCTGATACCACTTGCTAATAATTTATATCACCAAATTGATTCCCCCACCCCTAATAAGGTGACTGAAACAGGTAACTGGTCATTTTAATGGGGGTGTATAGTACCTTGTCACACCAATTGGGTCCCCATTACCACCCATATGCCTGATATACTTCTATAGCTAGGTGGTAAGGAGAGCAGGGCTGAGAAATACCTTCTCAGGGCAGCCTCATCCATGGATATTGAAGTCACATTGACTGCACAGCTCAGAAACAAAGAAAACAAATCACTTGTTTTCTTTAACTAGGTTTGTAGACTGTTTCACTCTGGAAATGGCTGCACTGACATGGGGGTAGGGTAGGGTGGGGTGGGGTGGGGTGGGGTGGCAGGAGTGAGGACTGAAGTTACAAGTTCCTGCCACTGGGTGACAATGATCTGCAGCTCAACAGAAATGGTTTTCAATAATATAATGACAGAACTGTGAAATCAAAGCAAAACTCAAGCCCACAATTTTGCAGTGTTTGTGAAGACAAACTGGACATGCATCCTTTTGAAGGTATAGTTGTGCTACAAAGAGGGATGCCAGACATCAAAGCTTTTGGGATCCGGTTCTATCGCCACCACCTCTCCCCTATAATTCAGGAGGGTTAACATAAATCACTTTAGGAACCAGTATATGTACATTTCTATAGTACACAACACACACCACCTCTCCAGTCAATCTTCCTTGGCCAATGGAACAATCATACTGCTGTTGCACCTTCATTTCTTTTGCAGCTTTGCTCCCAAGTCCTCCCAACATCCCACCACCAGCAAGCAAACAAATATCAAGAATCAAGTTGGCTTTTTAATGTCAAAATTCCACACTGGATAGATGGTACTACTTGGGGTTTGGGGGTGGGAGTTGGAAAAGAGGGGTGGGAAGTTAGGGCTCCACCACAATTCGAAACTGCCTCTCCTATTAATGTGTTTTAATATTGAGAGAGTAAAAGGCTGAAGATGCTAGAAATATGATGGCGGTGGAATGGGGGAAACAGGAGAATACTCTGCAGGTCTGGCTGTCTCTGTAGAGAAAGAAGCAGAAATTTATTTTAGTTCATTCATGAAATGTGGCTGGGCCAACATTTATTGCCTATGCCTAGTCGGCCCTTGAGAAGATGGTGGTGAGCTGCCTTCTTGAACTGTAGTCCATCTGGAGTAGACACGTGCACAATGCTATTAGGGAAGGAGTTCCAAGATTTTAATCCAGTGACACTGACGGAATGGCAATATATTTCCAAATGAGGATAGTGAATGGCTTGGAAGGAAATTTGCAGTTGGTGGTGTTTCCGTATATCTGCTGGCCTTGTCCTTCAAGCTGAAAGTGGGTATGGGTTTAGAAGGCCCATATGCAAGGAGCCTTGACTTTCTGCAATATTTTTGCAAATGTTATACACTGCTACTACTGAACATCTTTGGTGGAAGGAATGAATATTGGTAGATGTGGCACCAATTCAGTGAGATATTTTGTTCTGGATGGTGTCAACCTGTTCAGTGTTCTTTTAGGGCTGCACTCATTCAGGCAAGTGAATGAGCATTTGATCACAGTCCTGACTTGTGCCTTGTAGATGGTGGACAGATGTTGGGAAGTCAGGAAGCAAATTACTAACGGTGAAGTTCCTAGCCTCTCATCTACTCTTGTATTTATATGATTTTCTGGTCAGTGGTTACACCCAGAATGTTAATAAATGGAAAAACTCAGCAATGGCAGTGGCATTGAATGCGAAGGACAATGGTTACGTTCTTCTTTTGTTGGCGATGGTCATTCCCTGGCACTTGAGGTGCAAATGTTATCACGGGTCAGCCCCAAGGTGGATGTTGTCCAGATCTTTCTGCATTTGAGCATGGACTATTTGAGTATGGGACTTGGCAGAAACAGTGCTGGGGAGCATTCTTATGGTGGAGGGAAGGTCATCAATGAAATAGTGAGGATGGTTGGGCCTAGAACACTACCCTGAGGAATGTCCGCAGTAGCATCCTGCAGGAGAGATGACTGACCTCCAACAACCACAACTATCTTCCTTTTTTACTCGGAATGGTTCCAACCAATTGAGTTCTTCCCAATTCCCACTGACACCAGTTTTGTTCAGGCTCCTTAATGCCACACTGTGTCAAATGCAGTCTTACATTTCTGAATTCTAATGAAACATTTTTTTAAAAAAACTCTCCATCAAAAGCACTTTTTATTTCTTTATTTAGCCTATTGCCACTTCTTTTAGGTTTGCACCAGCCTCCCTGATTTAATTTTTCCTATCCTCCTCCTACTCATGAATCCCTTTTGTTTTCTTCTCCTCTGTATGTTACTGTTACAGTACTGAGAGTCATCAACCTTCCTCTCCAGCTCTGAATCTACTGGATCTCCTGAATACTTCCTGTATATCCTGAGAAAGGCTATCTGGAATTTTACATTTTTTGTGAAAGGAAAGGACGTTTGTTTATAGTACTAAAGTAAACAAAAGATAAGAGTCTTGGACAAGATAATTTCAATATCGTATTTATATTTTTCACCTCATATGCATGTAAAGAAAGATCTTTATAGATTCCCTCATTAAGTTGTCAGCCAAAGAAATAGGTTAAAATGTGTGTTTTTAAAATGGGAGTTAATGCTGGAGATTAAAAGACCTTATTGTTGTGACAGTTGAATGCAACAGGGTATCAGTTCCCAGTAAGTACATGGGGAAAGGGAAGCCATTTTTCAACCAATAAACCTGTCTTTGAGTGAACAAGGATGGAACTATTAATAAACTCTTCAACAGAGCTAGATCCACCCGAGTCAGGTTCTATCCTCATCCCAAAGCTAGACGGGCGTAGCCTCTTAGGAGCCAAGATTAAATGATCCTGAGGCCAAACCACAGACATGCCATTCCATCATCACAGCTGTGATCAGCAAACAATGAACAGTTGACTACGAATTAAGTCACAAAATCTTGAATGTACAATGTGGTCCCACAGCATACAGTATTCCTGCTCTCAAAAATTCTGTGCTTGGTGGGTAGAAGGGCATGGCCAGAAATAATGGAAATACAGAGCTGACTAGGCAGCAGATGAATGGGGGGGGGGGGGAAGAGGAAGAAGTGGGGGAAGAAAACTTAATATTTCGCATTTTACATCCTTTGTCTGAATTGGAAAATAAGCATTGTGGATTGAGTAAAGTCAAAGAGGAGGTACAATGACGAGGGGTGAAAACATGACTAGCTTCTTTGGACAGTCAGCACAATCAAAACCTTGACTTCAGCCCATAATTCTGCCATGTCATGAGAAGGAACAATCCAGTAAAACTTGCAAATAACTCATACTGGCCCAGTTTGTTTTGAACATTTCAAAACAGGAGGTCCAAGACAACCAGCACATTCATTTCCAAGTACTCCTCTCCCCATCCCCGGGTTTGATCTTGTATGCAAGGTACATTCAAGCTACAGTGCAATGATCACATGTAGCAGTTTTATGCATACAGCTCAGGAAACTTCATGTTCATTTGTGCTTTAATTCATCACTTGTTGCGTTTCCACAGTGGAACTTAAAGGGCATGCCCCCAGAAAGAGTTGTTCTTGGAGACTGTGATTCACCCAATAAAAAGGTAACAAATTCACATCTATGGATTTGACATACATAATCCAAAGGAAAACAGGACATTACTTAAAATGTGTGCACACTTTGTTCATGAAACTCCACGGTTAAAGAGATCCAGACAAGACTGATTTCCCATTCAACGGGGCTTTGTATGTTCCAGTTTTAACATTTATATCCAAGATGTTACCTTTCCTTTCTCTATACAGACAGAAGGTGACTTGCTTACATATTTCCAGCAGCTGTTTTTAAACTTCAATTTTGCTGAATCTATACTGCAGTCTAATAATTTCTTTTTTAAAAATGGAAGCACAGTTACATTGAGACTTCAACTGGAATAATTCTACATAAACACACAAAAGCAAATTTTTGGTACTTAGCTGGGCCCTTACAGACCTACAGCATAAAACAAAAGTGATCAACCACTGCACGATTAAAGCCAGTGTAAAACATTCGCAGTACTGCTACTATATAGCAACCTTTAAAAAGGTTGTCACTGTAAAGTCCCTAGGTTCAAAGGACCACAGTGAAATAATCAGACATTTTTTTGGGGTGGTGTGAACGGGGAAGAGGTGGCAGAAAAAGAAAGAAAGAGACAGATCAACAGACAGATAGCTACACAGAGAGAGAGAGAGAGAGGGGGGGGATGGTGGGAGAGGGAAAGAAGAGAGAAAGAGACACATACACACACACAAACTGAAAGAAAGAGAGAGACAAACAGAGAGAGGCGGGTGAACAACAGAAATCATTTTCATTTACAAACAAAAATATCCATTGGCCAACCAAAGGTGGAGTATCAAGGCCACAGGATATCCATTAAAATGGTTCCGCTTTTTGGCCTTAAGCTATATTTGACTGACCAACTGATAATGGCTAAGGTAGACCACCACACATTCAAGTGCACTCCCTATGCCGACCACGTTCTAGAGCCCTTCAGTTTTTTCTTACATAAAAGATATATAGTCGAGTGTCTTGCATATTTTCATATATATTTGCCTGGTAGTTCAGTAAATTGCTGCTACCTCATTAACTATAACCTGGACCACAAAGTCTTTCTGTATTTTTGTTTCCTGCAGTCGCATTTTATCAGTGAGTAGCCTCCCCGAGAAGAACCAGCGCTGCCTGGAGGGTTCGATACCCTCCTCCGTGTGCAGCTGCCTCTTCAACTGCCCAATGGTGTCTGCCATGCTGGCGTTCAGTTTGACGTCCTTCCCTGTAGACAGGCGCACCTTGAGCTGGAACTCTCGCTTGGCATTCGCTGGAGGATCAGGTACGTCTGCAGTTTCCTCATCACCCTTCTCAGTGATGAGGTTCAGAGGTGGTGCCAGGCAGTAAACAGGAAGCTGGTAACGGTTGCCAAGCTCGTCGTAACATTCCGTTAACGAACCTGAACAGGATGGTTGGTGGGGTGAAAAAACACTTTTAGTGAAAAAAAAAATTAACATTATTCTATTCCTCCTTCCAAGGCAGGACATCCCAGGTCAGACAGAAGGTCAAGCATTAATATGCCAACCTATCAATTTATCATTTATTACTTTTTATATGGATATAGTATATATAATTTATAATTACCTACAGTACTGCTGTCATTAACTTTGTAAATGCATCAGTTCTGTTCATCAACAGTGAATGTAATGGCTAATCAGATATGTTTTGCAACTTATTCCTGCGTTTGGAGTAAATGTTTAAAAATTTAAAGCTTCAGGTTACTAGTATCTCCTCCCAACTTAGACTCTATTCTTCCCTTACCCTTCAGTTCCACAGCTGTAAATCCTTCTGGCAGTTGACTTACGTGACCATTATTCACTTGAGAGTTGTGATTATGGCTGGCTATTCACCCATAAGAGGCATTACAGCTGAGTTTGTTTATGTGCTCACCATCCTGTTTCCAGATGTGGGGTAATCATTGTTAGCTGTGATTTCTACATGAACCAGAGAAGATCCTTTTGCTTCAAATCCTTAAGCTATTTTTATTGAAGACTGAATAAGGCCCTTCAGAGCATATAGCTCACTAATATGCTCACTATATTTTTCTGGGAAGAAATCTAACCCCCAAGAAAACCTAGTTGAGCTCAAAAATGATTTAGGTAACGAAATAAGTAAATATTCAAAGTTAAATATGATTTTAAGACAGTCAAAATAAAGTGACACAAGCTTAAAACTGGAGCAAGTATGGAAGTTTCTCAATTACAGTCACCTTTTTGACGATGAGCTGGCTCAGGATTGATGGAGTCACTTTAAGATACATCTTTCTAGTTTTTTCTTATTCTTAAACTATTCAAAATGGTGCTGGACTGTAGTGACAGTGGAAAAGCTTTCCAGTGTATTTTACTCACTAAAATCCACATGACCATAAAATCATCCATTTATTCACCTTTAAATTATCCCTTGGGATTGCTCAAGATTTGACTGATGGAGGAGTTCTGGGTTGTGGAGCAGACAGGAAAGTGGAGTACAGACCACAACCAGATCAGCCATGATTTTATTCAGTGCAGGATCAAAGTTGCATGTGTTATCACTGTTCCAATGCTCACGTGATCATGATGCAAACATCAGCCAAACTTCCCCATGTATGTTCATGACATGTAATTCCTTGAATGTGAACCATGATCCTATTTTATTCCCTTCACCACCTTGCCTTTCCCTCTTTCTGGAATGTTATTTACCCTCAACAGCCCAATGAGAACTCTGAAATTGTTTTGACTTTGATCCCTCTCCATGTTTCACTGTTATCAACTATATAAGTAACTGTCGAGCCGACCCTTGGGAATTCCCTTGCTCGATCACACTGTCCTCAATTCATCTCTGGTCTTAAGACCATCTTTAACTCCCTACGGTTCGTAGGCATTTGGACAGGCAGGACTGATTATGGATAGTCAGCATGGTTTTGTGCAAAAGTGAAATAGTGTCTCAAACTTGTTTTTTGAGTAAGTAAGCAAAAAGATTGATGGGGGCAGAGCGGTTGATGCCATTTACATGGATTTTAGTAAAGCTTTTGAGAAGGTTCTGCATAGTAGACTAATTAGTAAAGTTAGATCAGATGGGATTCAAGAATGAGATGGTCAATTGGATGCAAAATTGGCTTGATGGTAGGAGATAGAGATAGTCTGGAGGCTTGTGACTAGCGGTGTTCCACATGGATCGGTACTGGGTTCACTTTCACTCGTCATTTGGATAAGAATATAGGAGGCAGGGTTAGTAAGTTTGCGGATGACACCAAAATGAGTGGTAGAGTGGACAGTGAAGGCTATCTACGATTACAAAGAGATTTTTAACCCAATTGATCATGGGCTGAGGAGTGACATATGGAGTCGAATTTGGATACGTGAGACATTGCATTTTGGAAAAACAAACAAGGGCAGGACTTGTACAATTAATGGTAGGGCTCTGGGTAGTGTTGTGGAAAAAAACCTTGGGAGTTCAGGTACATAGTTCTTTGAAATGTGCATCAGAGGTAGACAGGGTGGTTAAGATGATGTTTAGCATGTTCACCTTCATTGCTCAGACTTTCAAGTGTAGGAATTGGGATCTCATGTTGAGATTGTACAGGACAATGCTAAGACCTCTCCTGGAGTATTCTGTGCAGTTCTCGCTGCCCTGTTATAGGAAGGATATTACTATAATTGGTGAGGGTTCAGAAAAGATTTACCAGATGTTGCCAGGAATAGAGGGTTTGTATTATAAAAATAGGCTGGGACTTTTTCCACTGGAGCATAGGATCTTGAGGGGTGTTTTTATTGAGGTTTATAAAATCATGTGGGGCACAAATAAGGTGAATAGCAAGGGTCTTTTTCCTAGGGTGGGGAATTTCAAAACTAGGGGCCATATTCTTAAGGTGAGAGGAGAAAGTTCTAAAAAGGACTGAGGGGCAACTCTTTCTTTTAAAAACACAGAACAGTTCATGTGTCGAATGAACGGCCAGAGGATGCGGGTACAGTTACACAATTGAAAAGACATTTAGATAAGTTCATGAATAAGAAATGTTTGGAGGGATGTATGCCAAACTCAGGCAGGTAGGATTAGTTCAGCTTGGTCACGTGGTCAGTGTGGACTGGCTGGAGTGAAGGGTCTGTTTCCATGGTGTATGACTATGATTCTATAACCTCCTTGCGCAGCCTCCTCAACAAAACAGGCTCCTGGCAACACTTAAGCCTGATGGAAATCTCCTGGCTCTCTACCCACTCCAATCCCAATAATTAAAGCTCATTTGAACTACTGCTGCCTACATCCTTATATGCAAAGGTCTTTTTGTCAATTTAACCTGTGTTCACTGACCTACATTAGCTCCCATTCCAACAATGCCTTGGTTTTCATCCTCAAATCCCTCCCATGGCTTTATTTCTCCTCATCCCTTAACCCCTTCTGCACTATGCACCTTCAAATACACCCCCAGTTTAATCACCTCAACCTTTGGGACACAAGCTTCAACTGCCAGGTCTCCTAAGCCCCACAATGTTGGGGTGGTAATAACAGTGGTAATGCCACTAGATTGTTTTACCTCCAGGAACTCTGGGTTGCTACTAAGTGCTATATAAACACAGATGTGGTAGTGTCTGTGGAGGAAGAAACAATATTGCAGGGATATGGGTTTGAATCCCACTATGATAAAACTAGATGTTTGAATTCAATAAAAAAGCTGGGATTAAAAGCCAAATGATAACCATTGTTGATTCTCAAAATCTTGATCACTAATGTCCTTTAGGGAAGGAAATCTGCCAGTTTTACCAGTCTGGCATACATATGACTCTAGACCCAAAGCAATGTAGTTGACTTTTAAATGCCCTCCAAGATCTCGCAAGCCACCGAGTTTAGAGCCATCAGTGATGGGCAATAAACAGTTTTGTCAGTGATGCCCACATTCCTCAAACAAACTTAAAATTCATTCTTTAGGATGGAGTTCTTCTTTATGATGCTGTTGAAAGCCCACCTCTCTTTGAGCACACTTTTGGTTACTTCTCTCAGTATCTCATGTGGCTCAGAATGAAATTCTATCTGACACTGTTCCTGAAGTGCCTTGTGACACTTTGTGAAGTTAAAAATGCCACATATATGTAAGCTGTTATACTTCAGGAAGAACGTCTTCACACAAAAGACAGTGGAAATCTTCAAAAAGCTGTTGTTTTGAGTAGGAGTCAAAATCGGGTGATTTTTGGTGATAAGGATATTAAATGGTTACAGATTTGAAGGACATAAATGTAGCTTTGTATGGATCAGCTATGATCAAACTGAATGGTGAAATAGGCTCAAGTGACTGATAGACCTCTGTTCCGATAAGGATTGATTAAGGGCTAGTCATCTTCCTCTCAGACTTCAAATCACATTTACTCTCATGAGGTTATGAGGAAGTTCCAGTGCTCAGGATTGCTTTGATTTTAGTTACACAATCATCGGCCTAAATATTTAGATTTCAGTCACTGGTTTTCAATCCGGAGTTACTGGGCAGTTGTGTTCTATTTTAAAGAATTGAGGTTTAGTGTGAGGCTTTATTGATCAAAACTACAGGGTGCCTCACTGGTCCTGTAGCTGGTCACCAGGTCATTGATTTTCAGTTGTCTTGGTGTCAGTGCAGGTAGAATACCAACAACAGGATCGAAAGGCTCCAGATCATTCCATTGAGCAATCTGCTTTTGTAGAACCTCCCCAGCAGCAAGACAGAGTAGGATAGCCCCTGAGCTAGAAATACAATCTGGACAAAGTGTGAGACTATGTATGATATTACAGACATCAGGATTACTGACCATTCAAGTAAAGAAATTTCTCTTAATGATGCAAGGCAATCAGTAATAGAACAGGAAGAACTCAGAGGAAAAAAAAAAGAGAAAAAAAATCACTAAAGCCTGTTGTAACAATGTGCAGAGTGAAAATCTGATGAAGCTAGCATAACTATATCCAGCTAAAATTAGCATCCTGGTGCCGCAAAATTCATCAGCCTCAGAAGTCCACAGGGAGCCGAATCAGAACTACATTCCACTTTATGTATAAAGCAAAGGTTGCAGATGCATGTGGTGACAAGGTGAGCAACGAACAGGAGCAAAACTTTAAAAACTCAATTGAGTTGGCAGCCACCTATTTGATTCAGGTGGTCATGGGTTCAAATACAACACTGAAAGCGGAATGCATAACTTAGGCAAGGCAATATTAGGCAGTCAGACATACTATTATCTTTTAGGTGAAGAACTTCAGGCAAGGTTCCATGTGGTTGTTTATCATCCAACTAAAGTGCCATGGAACCACTCGAAGAGCGACGGGGCAATTCCCCTGCAGTTGTAGCCAACATGTGTCCTTCAACCATAGAGGGTCACAGAGTCATACAGCATGGAAACAGGCCCTTCAGCCCAACTTACCCATGCCAACCAGGTCTACTAAACTGAACTAGTCCTATTTGCCAGTGTTTGGCCCTTATCCCTCAAAACCCGTGAATAGCACTGTGCTGCGAGGATCAGTGTAGGGTCCACTGTTGTTCATGATTTACATA